GTTTGGGATCCTGGACCCGCTCCGCGGCTGTGCAGCCGGCCACCCGCCGGTCTCTGCTCTGGCTAGCGCTCTCCTGCCCTCCGCCCGGCTCTGACTGGAATCGAGTGCTGGTGCCGGGCATTGAGGGTCGCAGGGCCATGCTGGGCCTCGGCGGCAGCGTTCGCCTGACCCTGGGTTTCAGTCGACCAACCCCGCCAGCCTCCGCTCAGGCATTTCTTTTTTTTCCATTGATCTATTTATTACGTAGAAGAACCGGGGTGCAGGCCAGTGGTGTGTGGGTGTTAGGACTCCCCAGAGACAGTCAGGGAGCAGAACAGGGGGATCCACGGAAACCCACTGCTGAGTGGGCAGCGGGAGACAGGGGCGTCTGCTGCCCCTGCGGGTCATGCCCGGGCCGGGGACGGACTCAGGCTGCCGGAGTGATAGTGCTGAGACTGAACCCCTAAGCCATCGGGGAGGCCCTCCTTTTGCTTTTCTTTTCAGTAACCAGGACCAGTCTGACTAAAACCCAGTGAAGGCCCTCCCTGGGGCGCAGCGGGTTGAAGCGCAGCACTGAGAAGCTGAAGCCGCTTCTGCACCAGTTCGATTCCCGCCTGCCCCGGAGGTGACCCCAGGGTGCGGCAGCCCTCTCCCGACCCGCCCGCTGCCCCCCTCAGCAGTGTGCTTCATGGATCTGCCTGTTCTGCTCCCCGCTCTGTCTCTGGTGAAGCCTGTCACTGCCCCTGCACCTCTGGCCTGTACCCCAGCTCTGTATGCACAAATATATAAATCTTAAAAAAAAAAAAAAACCAAACAGTGAAGCTGAACGAATATAATCTAGAACCAACCTTGGTTAGCAGCTTTTGCAATTCTATTCCTTCCCCTTCCTTTAAAAACTCCTCAAGAACCCTAGTGAGACATAATTTGAACTGTTACTGAAATACTGTTCCCCAACTTGCAAATATAATACCCCAAATAAATGCTATTATTTTACTCATTTACGGTTTACACATGTTCTTTATTTATACACGCACACAAGCACAACAGAAATGAATGAAAACCCAGAAGAGTCTTTAGTCATATTTGAGTTAAACACAAATTTTTTTTTTAAGATTTATTTATGCATACAGAACTGGGGTACAGGCCAGAGGCGCAGGGGCGGCGAGAGGATTTACCCAAGACAGAGTGGGGAGCAGAACAGGCCAACTGACAAGTACAGTTCTGAGGGGAGCAGCGGGCGGGTCCTAAGAGGTCTGCGGTATCTTGTGGATCGCCTCGGGGCAGAGATCGAACTCATGCTGAAGTGGCTCTAGCTTCTTAGTGCTGCGCTTTAACCCGCTGCGCCACCTGGGAGGGCCTTAAACAAATTTTGATTGAGCAATGATGATGGAGATTTCATGCAACATTGAGAAAAGCTGTGCCCTCACTGCCACCAGGTGATGCGTGGGGTCCCTAGAATGTTCTCCTGCTTACAACGCATTGTGCTGCAAGGCCCAGCCTGTCCGGGGCCATGTTATCACGAGCGTTCCTGACTTATCCTCTTGCTCTCTTTTGCCCAATTTCTTCAAGTTGAGGGCTTTGAAATTCTCAGATATTGATGTAAATAAATTCTCCCATCACTCCGAATTTTTTTTTCAGAGAAGTAAAATGGGGTTTTCCCGTTCTAGTTTTATTTATTCCTTATGAGGAGGAAGCAGCATTTAGCCTGCACAGCCAGAGGGGAGTGAGTCTGGGAGGAACAGTTGTGGGGTCTCTGCTCCAGTGTGAAAGGAGGTCTCGGCGGGGCCTCCTAAGCAGGGCCGGAGCCCTTCCCAAGGAGGAAGAGCAATGAAGCAGGGAAACCCCAGAAGGGAGCGCGGTGGGGCTCAGGTATGGGGGAAAGTGAGAGAGCCATCATTCCTGTTTCCTGAGGAGAGACCCAGAATGTAGTTTTGGACAAGTTTTTCAGAATATGCGTGTGGAATTAAATCTGAGATGTCATCAAGAGAAACTGCACAGTCTCTCTCGAGGTTCTGATTGTATGATTTCTGTGAAAAAGACTCCCATTATCTGAAATCCTGCAGCAAGGAGGCTGGAATGCCCGGCTGTAGTTGCAACCTCACCCCGGCTTACAGGTGAATGTAGGGACAGAGCAGTGGGTGGGAAGGAGTCGTAACCCTTTTCCTGGGCAAGGTGAGACCTTCACTTTCCTGGAGCTGTATCTCAGGACCACATATCAGCATGAGAAACCACTCACCTTTTGCACAAGTCACCCAAGTCGTCTTTACATTCGACCGTGAGACAAGGACTCAGGGGGCGCAGGCACCTGCCGCGGGCTCTGGCCTCCTCCTGTCCAATCTGCGACCGGGCCTCACCTCTGGGGTGAAACCGGCTCCGGGCGCACTTCAGCACCGCGGACAGGGCAGCCCGGGCGCAGCGGGTTCGGCACCGCGGACAGCGCCCGCCGCGCTCGGGACCAGGGCGTGGCCTTCAACTGGGGTTCTGCCTCTGCAGAGCTCCAAGCTCTTTCCTTACTTTTAAATGATTTCCTGGGCATCTTCATACGCGCGCCTAGGAGGCATGCTCTGCACCCTGTGCGCACGGGCCCCCCAGTGAGAGCAGCCTGAGGAGCCACACTGGCCAGTGGGCCCCGAGTGGGGACTGCAGGCCGTGAGACCAGCGGCCTGGTGTCACTTGGACACTGAATCCTCGCACCTCTGCAGTCACACGCGAGGACTGGCCTCCGAACCTTGGTCCCCTCTCGAGTTTATGTGGGGGACTTACAGCAGTCTAACGTGCACTTAGGGTGGTCACTGACGGAAACTGCTGACCTCCATCGGCACATCCACGCCACCGAGAGTGATGAGTTTGCCCAGCTCATGCCTGCAAACTCAAGCACTGCATGCTTGTGGGGAAGCCGAGTTGCAAGAAGCCATGGGTCAGTCAGGGGGCTTCTTTGGGCCCCAAAAAGCAAGACCAGCAGGTAAGTGGGCAGACAGTATGGGGGCTGCTAAGCCCGCCCAAGGTCCTCAGAACAGCAGCACAGGAGGGCAAGGTCATCAGCTGATAATTTCCTCAGCAAGAGTTTTGGGAGATCCTCAGCTTTTGAATGGCTTTGAACTGGCTGGGCCAAGCTCGCTGTGGTAATCTCCCTTTAATTAATTTAAAGACAACTGAAAAGGCGCTTGGGTTATAGCTATGAATCCCCTCACAGCAGCAGCTGGGGCAGGGTTTGGACCCTGGGGAGGAAGTGAGTTACAAATGCCTCCTGCGGGCCAGCCTCTGCCGTCCACAGGAAGGGAGCCCTGGGGGTGGGGTTCAGCTCAGTCGTCTCTGCACCACAGGCCGTCACACAACGTGCACAAAACCACGTGTAAAATAATCTTGTTGGTGAAACATGCATATGTTGCCAGTGTTTCCAAAATAAAAAAAGACCTGAAATGTCCCAAGCTGTTAGCAGCGCTGTGTCTGGGAGTAAACAGGCGAATGGAGTTAGGGAAGGGAGAAGGACTGTTAGTCTTTTATGTGGAAGTTTTGTTGTTTTACTAGAAATATGTAATATTCAAAAAGTGAACTGAAAAAAATGTTTTTTTTTTTTTT